GGGGGCGGAGGGACAGAGTGGAGGAGACAGACGGACAGAGTGGAGGGGACAGAGGGACAGAGAGGAGGAGACAGACGGACAGAGAGGAGGAGACAGACGGACAGAGTGGAGGGGACAGAGGGTCAGAGAGTGACATCCCCCTTCCGGTGTTGCCCAGTGACTGCCCAGAGCCCCAAGCCAGGTTGGCCTGCCCTAAGCCCCAGTTCCGTCTCCAAGTCCCTCCTTTCTAGAAAGAGCCAGGCCTTTCTCTGGCAAGAACCCAGCCTGCCTAGAGCAGCAGCCCGGACGGTAACTGGATGTCAATAGGCAGCTGTAGCTTCTTTTTGATGGCGGCACCCTTGCTGCTTGGGAAGGACATCATTCCATCCGGGCTCTGCCAACTGCACACCCGTCTCATTTTATGGCCGTCTGCTGCAAACGAGTTTCGAAGAGCCTTAAACGGAGCTGGGACCGCTCTGTGGACATTGCACGTGAAGTCTCAGGGCATAAAGATTTCAGAGCTGGCAAGATGCTGTGTGAGCCGCGAGCCGGGCAGCACACGGCGGCCAGCGAGAGGCACGGCCCTGGGGGAGGCTGGGCGATGCCTTCCGATAAGGACGGCTCTGTTGTGGCCAATTGAGGCCTCTCCTGCGTGAGCCTGACCAGGCCTGGGTGGTGTCTGTGCCCCCGGGGCAGCCGTGGGGAGTGGGCACCCTTCCCTTCCCGCATGACACCATCTGCCCCGGGCATGCTGACATCCGTGGAGGCCTCTAGGTGCCCAAGGGGCAGTGGTGGCTCTGGGGTGGCGTTCTTGCCTCCACACAGCAAACCGCCCTCCAGGAGAAGTGGGGGGTCGTTCATGAGAGAGGAGTTGCTCTGGTCCCCAGTGTGCTCTGACAGGAATACACCACCAATGGGACGGCCTCAACAAACAGGAGTTTATTCTCTTCCAGTTTGGAGGCTTTAAGTCCGAGTCCAAGATGCCAGCCTCTAGAGGCTGGGTGAAAACCCCTCAACCTTGGGCTTCAGCTCTGCCTCCTGCTCCCGGCCCCGTGAAGGTGGAGGCATTTCTTCACTCAGCTGCTGGCTGCTGAGACTGACAAGCCCGAGGTTGACAAGTAAAAAGGCACAATCCCAATGTTACCAAACCACACAGCAGGCCATTAAATCAAGTCCATTGAAAGTCCCAAGGTTGGCAGATCATGGCAGGCTGCTGAACAACAACACGACTACATGCAGGGTCCAAGCGTGCCGTAAGCTAGAGACCATTCCCCAAGGCTTCTCCTTGTATACAGGAAGCAGACCACGTCCCTGAGGCACTCCCTCAGCCCCTCCAGTAGAGTCCACCGAGTTGATGACCAGTCTCATCACGGGGAATACGGCATCCAGCTGCCCAGCTCCTCAACCAGGCCCAGCCACGTTGACACACAAACTTAACTACCACAGGAGTGATCAGCCCGCCTCTCCCCCGTGGGGGTTCCCCAGAGACCCTGGCTCAGAGGGGTGGGGGGCTGGTAGAGGCAGGGCTGACCGGGTGAGGTGTTGGGTCCCCGGAGCACACGCACCACCTTCAGGCCTTTCTCCTTGGCCCCCAGGTGCACCGTGGCATCAAGGGCGTGGTCATGGACAAGTTTGGGAAGCCGGTCAAGGACGCCCGGATTGTCGTCAAGGACATCCGCCATGATGTCACCACAGGTAGGCACTCCCCGCCTCCTTGTTCTCAGCTGGTCCTGTGCTCGCTGAATGGCTGCTGCAGGTGGGTGGCTTGGGGTTTGGGAGGGCGCACCGGTCCTCCTCCCTGGTCTGTGGGGGAGGCCTGGGGGAAGGGGGAGCCAGGCAGGAGGAGCCTCTGGTGGCAGGGACCCAGGTGTATGAGGATCACAGACTAGGGGCCCAGGCAGGGGTGCCCAGGTAGGGAGGGCAATCCTGGCTGGGGGGCCCCCAGGTGGTGGGGTTCGGGGGGGGGCGCTTGGAGTGGGTGGGGACCCTGGGTGGGAGGGGGACCCCAGGTGGGAGAGGACCCTGGGTGGGCGGACCAGGCTGGGCGTGGTTTCCGGCATCTGCTTCCTGTGGGGCCTACAGCACTCAGTGTGGGGTGGGCTTGCTCAGGCCGAGGCTGACAGACGGTTGTTGATGCCCTTCTGTGTCCCCAGAAACCCCTGTCTGCTGGGAGCCTGCGCCTCCTCACAGAGGCGGGGCATCCCTCTGGTCTGAGAGCCCTCTGTTCACGTCCTATCACAGGCTCTGGGGCTCTCGGGGGTTCACAGCCGACTGGAGAGTTAGAGTGCCCTGTGACGTGTGCTTCCCCACAGGGATGACTCAGAGCGGGAGGGACTAACCAGCCTGTGTGAGCTGGGTTTGGCCTATGGGGATGGTCAGGAGGGCTTCAAGGAGGAAGTGTCACCTAACCAGGCCTTTGTAGGATGAATAGGAGTTTGACGAGAGATGAGGTGGGGGGGACATTCCAGGCAGATGCAAAGCCAGTACAGTTTGGGGGCCGTCTGCCCTCCGGGTACCGCCTCCTGCAGCCTCAGGTCTGAGAAAGACTTTTGTTCTGCCTGCAGCCCCCGACGGTGACTACTGGAGACTGCTGCCCCCAGGGTCCCACATTGTCATTGCCCAAGCCCCTGGCTACTCCAAGGTCATCAAGAAGGTCGTCATCCCTGCCCACATGCGGAGGGCCGGCCGGGTGGACTTCATCCTCCAGCCCCTGGGAGCAGGACCCCAGAAGGTCGCCCGGGGGCTGCAGAGAGGTGGGCGCAGGCCACACGACCCGCGGGGAGACGAGGGCTTGCACAGTGAGATCCCGGTTGTGCGGAGGCAGCCCCCTGCCAATGGGGCCAAGCCGTGGTGGTGGTCCTACCTCAGCTCGCTGAGCCAGCACAAGCCACGCTGGCTGCTCAAGTACTGAGACCAGGGTCCTGCCGCCAGGGGGCTCCAGACCCCTTCCCACCAGCGGGCTGCTGGCCTCCAGCCGGCCCTCCCCAGGGACTGCCCAGTCATCTTGATCTCATTAAAGTGTTCTGTTCATCTTCCACCCGGGCAGAGGCTGTGTGGGCACTGCACCCTCGGGAGGGATGGAGACCCACCTGTGCGGCACGGCCGGCCTCGCCCAGCCCCGGGACCACCTTGGAGGAAGCACTCGTGCCACACCCACAGCAGAAAGGGCAGGGCTGCGATTGGGACCAGTCTGGCCCAGTCCCACTGAACCCTTCAGTCTTCCTTGGACCCCCAGGTCTTTGAACCCAGGGCTGGATGTTAATGTCGTCCCTCCATTTCACAGATGGGAACACCAAGGCTCAGGACAGGCTGTGATGTGCCTGGGGTCACACTCCCAGGGGGTGGTTGGGGCCACGGCAGGAGCTCAGATTCCCGACCCTGTGGTCAAAGATTAGAGGTACAGGAGCGGTGCAGGGTGTGGGCACAGGAGCAGTGAGGGCCTCAGGTACAGGAGCAGTGCAGGGTGCAGGGTTAGGCTTAAGGCTGGAAATCTGAACTCAGGGCCCTGGCTCTGGAAGACAGGCTTCTCTCTGTCAGCTCTGGGGAAGGTCCTGGCTTCTGCAGCTTTTGTTCCTTAGCGATCTCCACGTGGTAGTCATTTCCTCATCTCTGCTTGCTTGCCTCTGTCTGATTTGCTATTTTTCTATCTCAGAAGTGAGTAGGTTTAAGACATAGCCTGCAGCGATATGACCTCATTAACATAACAAACAATACCATATTCCCCATGGGTTTATGTCCTTAGGCATGTGTTGGGTGACATCAATTTGCTTCTGACTCAGAACCCTGTGGCTGGGCAGGCTCGAACCACTACCCTTTCAGTTAGCAGTGACTGTTTATGGTAAGGGTTAGGATTTATAATACACATCTCTTGGGGTCACAGTGCAATTCATAAGCAGCAGCATGCTTCAAACTAAGTGATACTCAGAGGCGATGTTGTTCTCATCTGGAGCAGAAGTAAAGAAGGAAGCCAGAGATTCAAAGAAGACACTCGTCTGTAGCACGACAGTCTGCAGGAATCACAGGCTCCTCTGCCCTGAGACCAGAAGAACTAGGTGGTGCCCCGCTACCACCACTGACTGTTCTAATCGGCATCACAACAGATGGACCTGGCCAAAAGGGAGGAAAGTGTGCAACAGAACCACAACAGAACCCCAAATTCCTAAAACAAAAATGAAAGGAACAGACCTACAGGACTCACAGAGACCGGAGGACTCCCCAGGATTGTGGCCCTGAGACAGCCCTCAAACCTTGAACCAAAACTCAACCCTGAGGCCACCTTGTAGCAAAATAACAAATTGGCTCAAAAAAATAATGAATAGCAGTCATAAGTACTGTGCTTCTTAAAAAAATCACCTATATGAGTGTTCTGGTTCCCTTAGTGCCGCTCTGACAAGAATATACCACAAATGGGATGCTTGAACAAACAGGAGTTTATTCTTACAATTTGGAGGCTTTAAGTCCAAGTTCAAAGTACCAGGCTCTAGAGGTTGGG